ATAGATAGATAGATAGATAGATAGATAGATAGATAGATAGATAGATATTAGAATATGGCGAAGTACAATATTATAATAAAGTAATGAAGTAGGAAAATACAATAAAAACATAAAAACATAGGACAAGGACACTTAAAAACAAAAAAAGAAGATAAAAGAAGATAAGGTGTTGATTAAGGTAATGTTTGGTTAATGTTATTGTAAACAAACAGTATCTGGTCATAACAATAGTACAGCATGTATAATATATCACAAGATGATGATTGTTATTATATATTATTATTATTGTTATTGATAACAATAATAATAATGATAATAATAATAATATTAATAATGATAATGATATATCACATTTGGTGATAATATACACATTCTAACATAGTTTCTTTACCTCATCGTGCGTTCCGATGAACTCAAAAGCCTCCATTCCAAACCTGAACTGGCCCTTGGAGCTGTTGTAGATCTGCACAGTCTGGTCCCGCACGCACCTGTCAGAGGGACAAACCCGTTCAGAGGCTCCGGAAGCGGGTCCCGGTTTGGGACCCGGTTCAGGACCCGGTTGGGGACCCGGCTCGGTTCCTGACCCGTCCTCGATGATGCTGTAGCTGAGGCGGGCGTTGGGGTTGTCGTAGGGCGTCGCCCTGCAGGACTCCACGAACAGCTGGGTGTCGGGGATGGAGGAGCTGGAGTCGATCTGCATGTAGAGCATCTGCCTCAGGTAGACCGTCACCGGGTAGCTGCTGGCCTCCACCCGCCGCGCGAAGCTTTCCGTCTCGAAGAACTCAAACTGGAAGGAGAAGGAGCCGAAGCCCCGCTCCGAGAAGGCAGAGGGGTTCTTGTGGGAGAAGCCCAGCGACAGGTTGGCCCTCTTTGGGTAGGCGCAGGAGAAGGCCACGTCCACGTGCTGCCCCCGAGAGATGGTCTGACCCACGTCCGCGGAGGTGATCACGTTACTGAAGATGATATCGTCGTTGTCCTCCTGAAAACGACACCAAACGGATGACTTAACGGGGCCAGAGAGAGAGGAGACAGAGAAGTTTGGTAGGGAAGCACATTGCATTCATTGGAAAAAATAGAATAAAGAGAATAATAATTTAAAAAATGAAGAGCATGAGGGCCACTTTTACATTTTTTTCATTAATTACGAGGTTAATGTCGTTATTAATTGTGGCTAGAATAAATTCGGAGAATGAAGTGGTAAATATTCTGTCCTGTTTTAGAAGATGATAGATTTTAAAATGAGGGCCGTGGAGCATTTGGTGGAAATGTGCTTTAGAATGAGTTTAACAAACAAGGAAATACTTAATATTTTGGCACATCAGCATCAGATTGTCAATAGTATCAGAATGTTAAAAAAAATATAAAGAAAATGCATCTTTTCCACAGAAAGAACCAGGAGGACATATCTAATAACAACTTTAAACTCTTAATTATTTTTTTTAAATAATTTTTTTGGGTTAAATGTGGCTCTAAAACTCCATCATAGACACCTTTTCTCGTAATTAGAAACTCAGGAAAAGCGCCAAGCTGAACTCCGCTTCACTCAGAACCACTGAACTGAAATTCATAAGTCTTTGAGTAAATTTAAAACTTTATTTATGATGTTTATTTACGCTGTGGCTTTGTTAGGTTTTTTTGTGAGACAACTGTGGCTACAGAAAAGCGGACATGGCTGACGTGATGGAGTTGTTGTTATTGTTGTTATGCTAGCATGTGTGCTAGCATGATTATGAGAAAAAAATCCCACCAGATATTAGACACAGATATCTGTCTATTTCTCAGCGAATGCAATGAGCTTCCGTAGTAGCCAAAAAGAGAGGAGATAGAGAAGTTTTGTATGCAAGATCTCGTTATTACTATGACATGCTAGCTACTGACAATAACGATGATTCAATTGTGCATGTTAGCCATGTCAGCTTTTCTGTTGCTGTGGTCACAACGTCACATGACAAAACATAACAGCGCCACAGCCTTAAATAAATGTCATAGATAAATAAAATAAAGAGTGAAAATATTGGCTCATTTATAACTCCTGCAGGTCTTTATAGCCAGTTTATGGTCTGGGATCTGCATACCAGCCCTGATTTTCCCTCCCCATATGGAGAGAAAATGTACTTTAATGTTAAGCACTCAGGACTGAGCTCCCCCCCACCCCCATGGTGGACCTGCTGCCACCTGGGAACATCCTAGTTTCCCTTTTTCAAGTGAAGTTGAAACAATCGTTATTTTCATTTCCAACCAGGATGAGCCTCTGTCTCAGGTGGAAGAGATCCAGCTGCATCTTTTCTGGTATTCGACTTATATGCTGAATTTTACACAAACATTTGAAATTGGTCAGTTATTCCAAATTTCCTGGCTCAGTCACCACCTCACCAAAGGGATCCCCCAAGGTTCAGTGCTGGGACCTCCTCTCTTTTTCATTAAAACCACCTCGCTTTGCCCGACCGTCCAATCGCATGACTTCTCATCCCACTGCCATGCTGAAGATACCCAGCTCTATCTGTGTAGTGATTTCCTTCAGTGTTGCTTATTGGTAGCTTTAATGCTTACTGTAATGTTGCATCTGCATTTGGATAAAAACATCTGCTGAATGCAGAAATATTGACCCTCAAAGGTGCCATTGTTGGGTTAATTTTGTTAGGGTTGGGTTGTGGTATCAGCAGTGCTTTGCTTTGTGGTGTACGCATAGTTTTGTGTGCATGTACCTCAATGAGAGTCCCACAGCTGCTTAGGGGCATTACGCCAACCAGGTGGGTCGAGTTCGAGTTCTTTGTCAGGTTGCAGGAAGAATCTGTGAAGCTGTTCAGATGCAAACTGCCCTCGTGGCTCCTGATGACGGAGGTCTTCTCAATTTCAATGGTCATGGTTGTTTCATTGCAGGTCACTGTGGCTTCTACAAAGGGAAAATACTCCACTGATGAAGGAAATACATCTGGAACATGATTTAAACCCTTTCTTCAACTCACCGTGCCGTGCAACATAAACAGTCACGCAGCGCATTTCGGAATGGAAAGCTTGGTAGCTGAGAGCAGCAAATGAGAGTCAATCATATAACAAAACTCACCATAAAGAGTCACATTTGAATGTTGTTGGGTTTTAAAACAGAGTTTAGCATTAAACCAGGGATATTTATCCATAACTCACTTGTTTAATGCTTCAGACACAAAGCAAATAGGGTAATAACCATATTTATCGAATTCAGTTGGTGTCCATTTTATGGTGAATGTGTCTGTAGAGACTCTCTCCTTCGAAATGCCCAAAGGTCCGGTCAAAATCAGGTCATTTATCCTGCAAGAGAAGCAATGTTTTCAGTTGCAAACATCATAATCAGCCGTGAAAGGAAATGCAATACTTCGAATAAGGCCTCACTTTGCATACTGAGCCACGGATCTGACTTCGATTTCCAGGGTCCGGTTGACGAAAGCAGTGAACTCAAAACCATATTGCGGAGTTGGTGACACAAAGAAGGGAAAGTAATCTCCATCGACACATGAAGGAGCATCATAAGGGTCCACTGGAAATCAGAGCAGAGAGAAACTCAGTTAGGTAGTTTGAATGCTAATGACAATATGGCTAATGGCTAAATAGCTATTGGCTACTGGCTAAAAGGCTAATGGCTAATTGGCTAATGTTACTGTACCAAAAACAGTGAAATCCAAAGGAATAACGCCAAAAGATTTGATCGTTTTTCTGTAAGGTGGTGGACGAGGAGTGGTGGTGGTGGTCGTTGGGGCAGCTGTGGTGGTGGTTGGA